TTCCCTAGGGGGACTCTGGGGGCCCACTGGTTACTCCAGACTCCAGGCTGATGTGGTACCTCGTGGGAATAGTGAGCTGGGGAGATGAATGTGCCAAACCGAATAAACCTGGGGTTTACACACGAGTGACTTATTTCCGTGACTGGATTACCTCAAAAACTGACATCTAATTCCAAAGTCAAAAATGGTTTGGACTACATAGACTATGCGTAACTCACGTTTGTCTGTAACTCTGAAAGGTTATTTTTTTAGTCTCTATGTTCCTGTGTAGTTCTGGTTGGAGCAACCTTTGCTCACAGCAAGCACTATCTTTGCTGTCGGAGATCCTAACCCCTTGTGAATTTATGGTGAACGTACGAGATTGCCTGCCTCATCTTTGAGCCCTGAAACATTCTCACTTACCAGAAATTACAAACTGACGTCACTCAGCTGACATTTAAAGGCTCCTATTTCCCTGCTTCATAAACACAAACATTTTCCAGGAAAAAAAGAAAGGATTTTTTCTTCAGCCGCGGCTGAGGTCCGAAGCTGAACCTTCCTCCTCCAGTGAGGCAAATGCTGTCAGGGCTGTGTTTCCAGCGAAGCCGACCCGCGATGATTCCCGGTGTTGGGGACTCAGCTGCACGGACTGCAGCCCAGACCCTGGGTGCTCCCCCTGCCCCGTGGCCATGGCAGCTGACGGCGGCTCAGCCAGGACTGGGGGTAGGTCCTAGCGAAGGGAAAGGAGGATTTCTGGGCTTGCTCTAAGTTGGAAGGGAAACGAGAAAAGCTTGATGTTCTTCTTCTGAAGCACATTTTTAACTGGATTTTTTTTTTTTTTTTGTGAATTCTGTGAAGTTCAAGTTACTTCAAAGTGCTGATGTGGAGGTGCTTTATCACAATCCTGTGCTGCTACCTCTGTACCAGCTGCCTTCTAGATCTGCTCTGTTCAATTCCCAATATACTAAGATACAGAAACACAGGCTCTACCCAAATTTGGTTGTAACGAGCGTGTCCCCGCGCACAACCTCCCTGGAAGGAAACCCAGCATTTAGATTTGTGCTAAAGGAAAAAAAAAATATCCACCAGAAATAAACTGGGAAATTCCTTTTTTCGTTCAAGAAATGGTGTGCTTTTCCAAGGACGTGCCAAGCAGTGGGAGCCATCTCAGTGCAAAGAAAAGCAATTAGTGATCCTGTCTTGCTTCACCGACGGATTCGTCTCTGCCGTGAATGCATACCGTCCTGTCTTGTGAGGCTGGAGAGTCGTTTTATATTCAAGAACAGTCCTGATGAGAACTTCAGAGTAAATGCAGTCCTTACACACCGATGAAGCACTTTTCCTGCCTCTGTGCGTGCCATCTCACGGCTTGGTGGTGGAAGGGGGTCACTCATGTGACTATTACTGTCCCCTACAGCCCAGGCCTTCAACGTAATGATCCAAAATACCGCTCCGGTACTGCCTCCGGCAGTCTTTGGATGCCCAGCAGACTGCGGAGGAATCTGTATGAGACATGAAAGAAGCTCCAAGCCCCACAGCCGAACCCGCTGCAGCAGGAAACTTCTCCGAAGCATCCTGCCTCCCCTTCTCAGGACTGGGTCTCTCCTCAGCCTTCCTACTGTGCCAGCTCTCCAGTAATCAGCATCCCTGGGAAGGAGATGCTCAGCACTTCTGGAACACTCACCCCCCGAGCTACACGTCTACATACGGATGGAAAAGCCTGTGTTTAAGCCTCACTCTTGGAGGGGGTTGTCTTGTTATTGGGCTAATTCTAGTCTTTTTCTTTTGAATTTCAGTAAGAGACAAGATGCCTTATCGCAGAAAGAAATCTAGTGAAGCTTTTACATTGCTCTTGGTTTTGAAATTGTATCTTTATTCTGATTTTCCATGTCCATTATGAAATGAAAAGGATCTTGGGACAGTTAGGAGGATAGTTAGATGCAGCAAATCCGTTTCCTTAATTTATTGAAGAAGTTTGTAATTTATGCACTTTTCAGTTGCTGCTATTTTTCAACTAAGAATTCACTCGGGGCCAGGTTCAGTTACAAAAAAATGGAAACTTCATGGAGTTTTGGATTAGGTCACCTGGAAACACTTTTTCTTCTAGTGTCCAGGTCCCCTTTTTTGAAGGCATCCTTTGGAAACAAATTACATCTAGGTTTTTGTGCCTCTTATTGCTTTGAAGGTGAAAATCATGACATGAAATCCTTAAAATCAGCTGATGAATTGCAGTTGAAAGTAAACAGCGTTTCACAGGCTTTGTTTAGCACCGAAATCTGTCTTTTTTGCCTAGCAAATGGAGAGGCAACAAGAAGGAGGTGAGGCCCAGGTTAGCTACGACCCCGATAAACTGGTTCCTACCTCACACTGCGAGTGACATGTATATAAAATATCTTTAAAATGAGAAAGACAGCCTTTATTTCAGATTTTCTCGCGAGAGGCCCAACAGCCAAGAGATGTGTGTGGGAGAACGTCTCCCCCACTCAGGGAGTCCTGAGCCAGCCAGATGCACTTTTCACACATTTTTTTAGCAAGCTGCCTGGCCTGGGTTTGTCTGATACTCCACGTCAGTGTTTTATTTATGAAGATGCTGTTTTCCGCCCTAGAATAAAACAAAGAGGATATTACGTGATGACAGAAAAGATTTTTAAAAACCTTTTATTATTGCTGATGTTAAGATTTAGCAAGGGATTTAAATGATATCAAGGTAATACGTTTCATAACATTAAATGTATTTAAAAACAACTGCTCCTTTTTTGTCCTTTATTTGCTTAATAATAACCAAGCTAAAAATTGTATATGATGCAAAATAGAATAATCTTCCTTATTCTGATCTAAAACGGCAGCTCTCTCCATTCATTCCCCATCCTAGGAATCGTTTAACAGTGGAGCTTTACAGGTGTTTCAGCAAAGACAAGGTGGGACATCTGCTTTTCTAAAATACTCAAAGGTGAGTTTCAGTTAAACTCTCCAAATTTGAAAATGGATCTGAAATTTCATCCAAGAATCTGCCACCTTACTTCTGACCTCGGGAAAACTTATCCCTGTGACGTGGCGTTCCTGGAAATTGGCTGTAAGGTGTTCTATGCAGCTGACGTACCAATTCTCCTGAGATTTCCCAGGCAGATTTAAAGCTTCAAGAAAGGTGTTCCAAAGTTCTGGTTATTCAAATGGGGTTGTCTGAGGCTTGCCCGATGCTAATTTTCAGCCTAGAGCACAAGTAGGAACGAAGACGTGGATTGCACAAGGCCAAATCACGTGGGGAGGTCTGGCTGAATGGCATCAATCCCTCACCGGGGATCCTTACGTAAGTAAAGCTTGGAGAAACTCCGATTCCGTGCCTGCTGTTCCTCTTAACAAACTACAAGAGCTGAGAGCCAACAGTTGTCCTTTAACCCGATGAATATTTAGCTGGCAACTGGCAGCCTGCCTGAGAGATGCACGTGCATGGAGAAGCTGGCTCTTGCTTTTGGACACGCGTTCACGCGCCATGTCAGCGTGGAGTCAGCGTAGGTAATTGGAGCTCCAGTTTATCTGGACCGGGATTTTAACGACACTGTTAACACGGTTTCTAGGAAGCTGTCACTTGCTGGAGCAGCCTAAGTGACACCATCCTCTGGCCCACCCCATTGGGAAGCTGGAGGCCGCCTAAACACGCCAGCAAAGCGCTCCTCCACCGCACCTTGTGCCAAAAAGAGGAGACAAAGCCCTGTCAGTCAGCAACTCGCTCCTGCAAGAGCTGGTGGCAGGCCACAGCCTGTGGCAGGGTGTTTGGGAACTCGCTGAGGGATGTTGGTAGGGGTTTGTGGTCGTTTCTGCGCCGGCCTGCACACTACGCTGAATTGTGTTGGCCGTAGCGCTTTCAAATAACACGGTTTTGGGGTGAACACTACATCGAGTTTTGTCTGTTAAATTGCTTATTAACTAAATAAATCAGGGGAACACATTCACCCCCCCAAATCCTTCTGAGCACAGGCAGGCCCCGCTCAGTGCTTCAGCAGGTCACTGAACTGACAGCCTGGCTTTGCCAGTCTCGGGAGCTCCATGGTACAAATACGGAGTTGGGATTTCCTTGAAAATTAATGTATTTGACCAAATTTACTAAGATGTTATGGTTTCGTGTATTTGTGAAAGAGAAGGCCGCGGGGGGAAAAAGTCAAATGGCTCCAGATGCTTCAAACGCTTTCCCTGATGGTTAGTCCTTGCTTCATGACCACTAAACTGTTAGAGAAGACTTAACTGGTTGTTGCTGTTTCTCCGTTTAGGCAAACGGCTTGGCAGAATTCACTGTTAGGACGCAAAACCTGTTTCATGGGAGACGGCTGCGTCTTAAGTGACTGCTGTCTTAAAAAATGCAGTGACGGGACAGAAAGATGGTAGGTAGCATTTTTTGTTTTTCACAACTCATTTGATTGGTAACTTCTTCAAAAGTAGAATTGTTAGTTTACCCTTTAAAAAAAAAAATAGAGTTCTTTTTTAAGGAAAGAAACCACAAAATTAAAGGTAAAAATCACTGACAGAACTAAAAATTAGCCAAGTGGAAAAACTGAAGCTCACATTTTTTTGCTGTCTTTAAACTCTCCTTCACTACTTTTCCCCACCCTTTACAGCTGGGGCTCCTGTTCACTCTGTTCATCAGGTATGCGCACTGCTCTTTGGAATTACTTCATTGAAACAACAGAAGTAGTTTTATTCTTGTATTTTCTGATTTTTATCTCTCATGTGAAAAAGCTACAGAGCCAACACCAGCCTTAAATATCAATTAGCTTACTGGTAAGGATTGCATTCCTCATCCTGAAGAGCTGACCTGCTTTCTCCCTTTAGCCCATCTTTCAGCCCAGCATGTCAGGCTTCCAGCGGCCTCTAGTGGTCCTTCGCAGTTTGCCTTCTCTCATTGTTTCTGTGTCACGGAAAGGATGCCCACTTTCACCCTGATCCTGACGAGGCATAGCCCACGTTTGAACGAGCACAGTGGCGTCCAGCTGCTCTTACTCGTTGTCATTACTTCAGTACAAAAGCTGCGTGTGTTGTGGGACCGAGGTGTGAGTCTTGAGGAGGACGTGGAGGGTTGCTAGAACTCTGTTAGAGCGAGAGAAATGCTAAAATAATGCATTGGATGCTCACAAAGAAGACAAAACTTGGGTCTTCTTGCCCCTAGAAGTTCCCCAAACCCCAATCAAGATAGAGAAAA